AATAAAACAAAGAAAAAAAGATTCTAAAAAGTATTTTGAAGCTTCAAAAAACGAACCATTTTTTAAAATGCAACTGTCTCCAGCTCCACAAACAAAAAAACAAAAAAAATCAGCAGATGCAGATAATTTTTATATTTTAAATAGGAATAAGGAACTAAGTAGTCAAGTTGAACAATTAATTTCTAAAGAAAAAAATAATGTGGAGCAAATAGATAATTTAAAAATACAGGTATCAAAGTTGGAAACTGAAGTTATATATTTAAATTCTAAAAACAAGGCTCTCAACGCACATTGTAACTCATAAAGTTCTCAATTAGAGACTATGAGTATTAGGCTAAAACAGGAGGAGCAGTTCCAACTTTAAAAAAAAAAAAAAATTAAAAACAGCACACCGTAAATTTGCATCTGCTCGTGCCAAAAATGTAAGATTGCTAAAAAAATTTAAATTTGAAAAAAAAAATGCAAAAATCAGTGATATAAACAAGAACAGTTGCCAAATTTGCAAATACTTTGCTAGCAGTGATAAGGATTTAGTTGTCGTTGATTCTTATTTAGACTATGACAACATTGGTTCCTCTGAATTATTCTGTGGGTTTAAATTAAGTAATCCACAGACTATATCAGTTAAAAAGCCAATAGTTGGTAAGAAATATACTTACATTAAGTTAGGAGATGGTAAATCTTATTCTAAGTTAGGTAGGCATGCTGCAGCTAGACGATCTAAACTTGCTTTTATATTCCTTCGATTATTAGCTTGTTCAGATTTGGAAAGTGATTTGTCTATGTTGTTTTGTGATTCTGTGTCTTGTGAAAAGTCTATGTTTCATTGTGTTGCAAATAAGTTGGGTTTAGTTAGGCAGTTAAGTGTTTCTGATGCTGTAGAGCTGCAGAGCCAATTAAGGATGCCCACGGCTGAATTCCGTAGGCTAAGACGTATTCTGTGTAATCTTGGTGCAAGGATTCTCCCATCTGAGCCCAATATAAGACAAGAACAAGAAATGTGGACAATGCATGTTAGTAAAGAACATGTTACTGTAAAGTCCATGTTGCTTTATCCATCTGCGAATGAAGCACCTTGTTTAGTACCTGTATTGATGGTCAAGAATTTGATAACTTATATATATATTTTTTTTTCGATAAATTATATTTTATGTTTGCATAATAGCGTAAATAAGGAATTAAGGCAGTTACATTCAGTTAGAAATCAGGAGCAAAAGCTGCATCTTGTTTTAAAACGCTTTGAATTGCACAGCAAAGCTGATAGGAAGCTTCAAGCCTCTAAGGTGAGAAAGTGTGTTGTGTGTTCAGAGCGTGGCAAAAATTCATTTTATAGACAAGGTCTTTGTCTTGTTTGTGGTCATCAAATTTAGTTTAAATGTTTGAAAAGTTAAAAAAAAAATTAAACTTTTTACATCTAAGATAAATTATATAAGATCCTTAATTTACAAATAAGAGAATTCTATTCTGTTTTAATGCCTGTAATGTTTGTTCAAAATAATAATAATTTTTTATTACGATGATTTTATATATTAGGTAGATGCCCATTCTGTTCCTATTTTCAAAATATTATTATAGCTATGCAATGCCTTTGCTCAGGTTAAAGAATGGAATAAAAGTCTAGCATCAAATGTATAGCTAACTATTTTAATTTGTGATCAGAGCAACTGGTATGTTTGTTGGATATGACTTTGTATGTTTATGTAGTTAATTCAAAAAACGTTTTATCCTTTGTTATGTAATATGTAACATTTTTTATATATATTAGATCTCCGTTCAATTTTTATCATCAAAAGTTAGTTCTACCTTCGCAGGACCTCTGCTCTACATACCTCCTCTCTGGTTAAAGAATGGAATATAAGTCTCATTTATCAAGTTGGTGTAAAAATTTAGCTTGATAAATTAAGAAGTTGTAAACTTTATTATCACAATTGCCAAGTTGACCAAATGTTCTTCTGGTTTTAAATGAATTATGTATGAGTCTAGTATCATCTGGGTGTTCAAAGATAGTTTACTGCTTGAAGAACTTATCAATGGACCAACTAATTTTAAAACAGTTTTTAATGAAAATAAAAACAAATTATCAAAAGATTTAAATCAGCTATTTGTGTATATTTAAACACTTTATTTTTTGTGAGAAGAGATTATTGATACAAGGTACCATAAAATAATTCTACTACCAAAAGCTAGGTTAATTCAAAACCTTTAACTCAATTTTGGTCATGAATTATTTTATTAGAATTGATGAGTTTTTATTTATTAACTACCTAACACCATATTATTAGAACTTTATTTTGTAATGTAATGATTTTATCAGCGTTCCAAAATAATTTTCTAAATCAAGAACTTCTATATTAAAAAAAGTACTCATGTAACAACTAATCCCCCCTTATAACGACGTTTTTCATAATTTTGTGAAAAATGTGGTTTGCTTTCACAATTCGATTAAGGCTGTTTTAGTTAACCTTAAATAATTAAGTAAGGTTTTTTTGTTTTCATTATTGTCAAACAATAAGTGTATTTGATAATAACTATTAAGAATATATTTTTCTAATTTTTTTTTGATAAAAAGTAACATCAAATTACAAAAATTTAGCCAAATTCAATATATGTCATATTTATTCTAAACTAAAAGAAGTTTTTCTACTAATGCATTAAATGTCATAAGGTAAAACATTTTATTGATGTCTTAATTGTTTTTACAAAACAAAATTACCTCTTATATTTCAAAAGTTATAAAAGTTTTAGTAACACCCCTTTAGTCAATATTTTCAAAAATTAACAAGAAGCCGTTAAGCTCGGTTTGAAACAGCCGTGATACATACATATATATATTTAAAACATTAATAATATATATATATAATCATATATATATATATATATATATATATATATATATATATATATATATATATATATATATATATATATATATATATATATATATATATATATATATATATATATATGATTATATGACATATATAGTTATATATATATATATATATATATATATATATATATATATATATATATATATATATATATATATATATATATATATATATATATATATATATATATATATATATATATATAATCATATATAACTATATATATATGATATAACTATATAATATAACTTTTTATATTATATAATTATTTTAGAACTCTACTCGTACAAAAAAAATTCAAATTCCGAAAAATGCTAAAACGAACTAGTGCGACAAATTTTTATTTATAAATTCTATGTTGTAAGATTTTATGTTTTACTTAGTAGTATATGTTTTATGCGTATTGCCAAATATTGTTGTTTAATAATAATATTGGTATTAAATAAATAATATTAATATTTAAAAATAAACATTATTATGATATACCCGTACACTGCGGCTACGAGCATCATTGACTTATAGCCGTAGGCGTAGCGAAGTATGCACTCATCGATAGACTAGGGATTAGCACAGAGAAGTGTGCATACTTTAACTAAGGGTTTGTAATTTATTTTTTTCTATTAAAAACCTCTTAGTTTTAAACCATTCAATGAGGTTGTCGAGTATTTATATTGGTTAAGATTAATATGGAGTGGGTATAAAACACTTTTGTCAGCAAAAAGATTGAATTATTTTATTTTTGATAAGTTTTTTTTAATAATGAGTTAAAAAATTGATAAACAATACAGGGTCAGGAATAGATCCCTGGGAACGTAAGTAATGTTCCCTAATCGGGTAAAGGTTTTTTCATAAGATGCCTTCTGTTTAAACATACTAGGCCGGGTGAATGAAAATGAGCAGTTGCTTTTACTCTGTAATTGGTTAGCTTTAAGTGAACAAAAACTTCAGCAATTTTACTTAAGTTTTTAACACGTAAAGCTGAACAATTACTGAGTCAATTGCTTACATTACGTGAATATAAATTTTAGCAAAATTGCTGAAATTATTATTCACGTAAAGCTGACCAATTACTGAGTAAAAGCAATAGTTCGTTTTTATTTACCCGGCCTAATAGGTTGTAAAATTTTAAAAGAAATGGAATGAGGTAATTAAACACTAAAGAAAAAACAATAGTTTCAAAATGCGGGTTTGAAAACAATAGTTTTAAATTTACGGGTTTAAAATTATAGATATTTGCGCACTATAAATGTCTGTCAAGGTTTTTTTTTGACGTAGCAATGTTAACATTGCTACTTAGGTAACAAGGGCAACGACTTGGACAATAAGATCAAGATCGAGGACTTTGATACCAAGGTCAAGGACAAAGATTTAAAACTTGATATTAAAACCGAAGATTTAAATTTTTTTATAAGGACGCATGTTTTCCATAAGAACAGCATGATCAAAATTTTAGACTATGCTGTTCTTATGGAAAACATGCTGTCCTTATAAAAAAATTTATAAATTTGGACTCTAAAGTCGAAATCAAGGACAACTAATTTAGTTTAAATATTTGCTTATTTAAAAAAATCATAAATAAATTGTCTGTTAACAGTTAAATCTTAAACTAAAGCTTAACAAACTAAAAAACATTTTGAAACTAAAAAACACGGATTTTCAAACAGAATAAAATTTGCCACATCATTTAAGTTTAATGAAATTGCATTAAATAGAAAAATACAAAATTGTATATGATTAAAGAATTAAAAAAATTTATCTTACAGGTTTAACAATACCGAAAAAAAATAACGGTGGTTAAGTTATATTTTAACGCCGTATTTTTATTTGTTTATTTTCCCTAAATAATTAAGACATGATAAATCTTAGGTAACTATTTTATTTTTAAGTATTTAAAAAGCTAAGAACATGACCAAGGACTTGAGTAACAAAGCCAAAAAATATCTGTAAAGATATCAAGTAGCAAATTCAAGGAAAACATCATTGTTTATGCTACTTTTTTGTTTACTTAATTATTAATCGATATTAAAGTGAAAAAATTAGAAAAAATCGAAGCGTAATTGTGAAGTGGTTGTGTAAGCTCTATAAAAAATATATAAAAAATATACTGACTGAAGATAAATTATTTTTATAAAAATGCAATAGGGTAGCAATCATATACAAAACTGCACCACTCCATAAACTCCTGAAGTCATCCAATTGTCTAATTCGGTTTCTAATTTCTCAGATATACCTGGAACAAGACCCACAACTACTTCAGCTTTTAAAGTTCTGAGAGTACACCAAGGTGCAGGAAGAAATCCTGACGATGCATCCTTTATGTTGGTGGTGTAAGGCCAATTTCGATCGCCAAACAATTTCCTATAATTTAAATCACCTTTAAACAGTATTAGTTTTGATTTACTTAAATTTGAATATAGAGATGGTGTCTCCTGTTCAAGCATGGAATAATCAAACGGTAAAGTCCAAAATGTATCTTCAACTATACTAAACAGATTATTATCTAAGTAACTCTGCCATTTCTTTCCTAAATCTGAAATATTTTTATCTGTCGAATTAACACATTGTTCTATTGTCCAAAAAAAATCTTTAGCTGTCGTGTCTGACACAAACCACGGCATGCATTTTACATAAAAATGAACTTCTGCGCAAAACTTGAAAGTCAATAGAAAGTCCGCCAAACATAGATCGCTAAATAATTCAAACCCTACATTATCCAAAACAAATGTAATGATACCTTTTCCAGTCGATAAACGCATACAGTCAAGGTATGTCCACAACTGATCTGTGTGATTCGATATAATGTTGGCTTTTAAATAGTTTTGCTCGTCAGCGCTTTTTATTTGATTATTTCCATTAAATGATATCGAAAGATCACATTTATTACTCCATAATGAATACTAGAGATAAAATATAATAAAAGTTTTCTTAAAATAAAAAAATAAGATGAATATATTTTACTATTATAATGAATTATTTTAGTTTTAAAAATTTTTTAAATTCTTTTCTTTTTATCGTTTTCATTTGCGCAAGTGAAGTATATATAAAAGTGTCCAAAACAAAATGACCTGTTTACGTAAGTAGAAAAATGGTAAAAACTGTTTAATGCAATCGAGGATGTCAAAAGAATCGAGGATGTCAAAAAAAAAAAAGAATTAATTACTCCATAATTAATGCTAGAGACAAAATACAGTAAATTTAGTTTTCGTGAAATAAAAAAATAAAAAAAATAAATTTTTTTATAATAATTCAGGTTGGTTGAAAAATGTTTTAAAGGCAAAAATGAAAAAATGTGTTTTTAATAAAATTAGCTTTTTTATTTAATATAATCTTCTTCAACTTGAACACACTTGATAATCCTCTAATAATTTTGTACCATCTCTGTATAATCTCCTTCAACTTGAACACACTTGATAATCCTCTAATAATTTTGTACCATCTCTGTTTAGATTTTCCAGAAGTTCTCCAAAATACTGCTCCATGGTTGTAATACCTTCTTCATCGGACAAAAAACGCTTTCCACCAAGGAATAGTTTCGAGTTACTGAAAAAATAATAGTTGGTGAGAGCTAAATTTAGTGAATATGGTCACCGTATCACATGTTGTAGTCACACACAAACAGTAAATTGAAACGATTTGATAATGTGATGAGAACACTATATTATATGGTATTTTCATCACATCATCAAATCATTTCAAATCACTGTTTGTGCGTGACCATTTGGTGAATTTGTATACCAAAGTTTTTATATAATATGAAGCTAATCAAATAATATCTAAATTAATTGCTTTTAATATAAAAAAAAGTGTTTAAGCAATTCTTGTGTGAACATGTGCATTGTTCTGATGAAAAAGAATTGTTTTTTTTTTTTTTGTAAAACAGGTCTTTTTTCACAAATTTTTTAATCTAACTAGTTGAAAAGGTTGTAATAATATTTAGAATTAATTGTTTTACCTTTTCCAAACTAATCAATCAACAAAATGTTTTTGAATCCCAAAAAACTGATTTGATAACCTTTTTGCTAATCATTCTTAACATGTTTTGAAGCTGAAGAACCAGGTTCAATCCACTGTAAACATTCTTGTTTCAGTTTAGGATTATGATGGTAGATCCAAGTATCACCCATAGTTATAAAAGAATGCAAAAAATTGGTTTTATTGTGCAGCCTTGTTCGTCAAGGTTCGTGTTTCGGAGTTATAGAGTTGAGAGAGGGTTATGGCCACAAATAAGTAGCCTCCTCGTCTGTAGTGGCCTTCTCGGCCTTGAGGAGGTGAATTAAAATAAAAAAAAAAAAAAAAAAAAACTAGGTTCAAACGCTAAAACCCATTAGTGCACAGTCGGAAATGAAGGAGAAGATTCCTTTAACGCTTTCACCATTTTTTAATGAACTTCTGCTAGAGATAAACCTTCCAAAACAAAGAACTTTATCACTGCATGATACTTGGTTTTTTCCATGGTAACAAAATACACTGGCACGTCAACATCGAATAGCTTGTAAACAAAGAATGAATGGACAAATCAAAATGTTTTTTTTTAATGTTAAAATGGAAAATGAAATTTTTAAATAGTGTATAAATTTTGATTTCTCTACTTGTTAACTGGTGTCGCTGTTTTCAACCAACTTGTAATTTATTTTTATTTTAAAATTTAAAATTCTCTCAAATATTTTAAACAGTTTTTAATCCCTTTTCTATTTACATAAAAACTTTATTTTAGACACTTAAACATATATTTCACTTTTACAAATGGTATGGAAAAGCATCATTGTTACAGAATTTATGAAACAAATGAGATCTCATGAAAATAAATTCTATTAATGATTTCTAATGCCGACAAATCAGCAATATTTTTATATGCACAAGCAACAAAACAAAATATACCAAAAACAAAAGTAAGGAAGTTGTAATGATGGCTAAAATCACCAATGAAATGAAAAATAAACAAAAAAGAATACAATCATAGAAAATGATGAACAATTAAAAAAATGCTAAAAGTGATCAGTGTCAAACTTTCATTAAAAAATACAAAAATATGTTTAACAAAAAAAAACATTAGAAAGACGGCCAGATCTAATCTTAATAAAATTGGACAGCAGATTCAAAAATTAGTGACTAATAGGAATTCGAAAAAATTAAAAGAAATTGATAATTTTAAAAATGTTTTTATTAGCAAAAACAAAATAGAAAACAAACGATTTAAAAAAGAAATTAAAAAAATCAGAAATGCTAAAATGATTACTCATGAAAGTTCTTGAACTAATGAGAGACAGCATTACAACGAACTAATGAGAGACAACATTACAACAAACACAACAGCAAAAAATACAATTAGGGAACCCAATCATGTGAACTTAATTTTGATTGAAACCAAAACTGTCTAAGCATTACTTACTCAATTCAGGAATTCAGATATTAAAAAAATTAAAATGTTTCTATTCCAATCCAACCACAATAAACAAAAAAATGGGACAAATTTCAATTGATTCTGACTAAAATAAAAACAACCACAAATCATTTAATTGTTGAAGAACAAAAACTTGGGTTCACTAAAGACAAATCATTTGTCACAAAGTTACATGAATCAATAGATACACTCATCGATCATTCATGAGCATAAAAAAATATGGGTTCAATCAGCTTGTTTCAAAAAATTTGCTAAAGCAAGTAGATCATAAAATAATTGCTAAAATAAAAAATAATGGTTCTGAAAAAAAATTAACTGACTCTCATTTTCTTTCAAACAGATACTTCATTATTAATTACAAGATAATCTCAATAAACTAGTTAAATTATGAAAAATTTAAAACCATGAAATTTACCAAAGCGAATCAAAAAAATTAAATGACTATATATATGATGGAACACTATATATAACTACCCATGATGGAATAACCATTGATTTAAACAAAGCACCATACAAACAGGATATCAACATGAGTAACAATCTCAAATGGAAAGACCATGTCACAATGATAACAAATAGAGCTAAACTATTAAAGCGCACATTTAAATATTTGTTGAATGACTCATTTCCTAAACTTTTTCTACAACATACATCAGACCTAAATTAAAGTTTCATGCACCAGTCTGGAATCCACACACACAAAAACATAAAATAAATATAAACTTAAAAAAGTTCAATGAAGAGCCACTAAAGTTATACCAGGTATCTAGCATAAATCATATAAAGATCGTTTATCAATCTAAAGATTAGAAAGTCTAAAGACCAGAAGAATTAAAGCCAACCTCATTCAATATTTTAAAATTAAATGAAACATAAACAAAGTTAGAAGGTGTCATTTTAACTCAATAGCTTCTTCATCAACTCTAAATGATCCATCTACAAGTATCAGAGAAGGACTCACTCAAAGAATATAAACAATTCATTAAAAAGTTACCATGGAAACTTCTTTAGAAACTGAATAGTGCCACATTGAAACAAGCTACCTATATTTAGTGGTTTCAAAAATAATCTATGAATTCAAAAACAAAAAACAATTGACTAATCAAATAATTAACTAATTTACTATCATTTATTATCAGCAACAATGACTCAAAAAATCCTACTCTGATTTGTGTTATCTGTAGAGAAATCAATCAATAAAAATAATTTTACTAAGACTTTAAAAAAGATATCTCATAAAATAAAATGGTGTCACCTCTATTTCTGTAACAATAATTCAACAGATTTAGATATATTTATTTACCTCTAATAGATCTTCAAATGATTTATACAAGTAAATCTGTGAGTTAATCGATTTTAAGTTGTTTAAATAACACGCTAAAACTTTTATTGCATCTATTGATGATAGAAATGCATCAGACTTTTGATCAAAATAAGGGTCCAACTCAGTATGAAACTTGCTAGAAAATTAATATCAAACATTACTATAAGAAAATAATATAAAATTTATATTTTATAATAAATAAAATCTTAAATTATATTGTATAATGTGAAACCACAATCAATTAAAATTAGATTTAAAGAAAGATAAAAAAGAAATATTAAAAAAAAAGAAGTAATAAACACTATAAAACTCTGCCAAAACTAAAGACTAAAAAACTACTTAAGTGAATAAAAAATTTATTTATAACTTAAATTTATATTGGATAACAACCCACTTTACTTACTTACAAATTTTATTAATTAAAAACTATTAAAATCAAGGAATCGTTTACTTAAATTACAAGTAACTAAATAATTTTTGAATAATTCTTTCTTGACTAATAATTATTTAAATCACACTTAAACTTAATGATAATTTAGATTTTCTTATTTGATTACACAGTCCAAAAAAACGATTTTTACTGCTGAGTGGAAAAAGAGAAAATAAACAGAAGAAAAAATATTAAAAAATATTAAAAACTAATTAAGTTGACTGACATTTTAGACGAATGAAAATTTTTCCAACTTTAACTTTTTAGTTTGTTAATATCAAACAAAAAACTTTTTAGTTCAATTAAACACAGTCAAAAATTAAGAAAACAAGTTTATCTGGTAATACTGTTGCTGTAGACCATTTGTCTGATAAGAGAGATTTTCTTTTTCATAATAAGGGAGATGTTTCTATTTTATAATAACAGATGTTTCTGTTCTTCAAGATTTGATCCGAACACCAAACCTCTGAAACCAGCTTGTTTTTCTTTGCTGAGTTTTAATGTTTTCATTTTAACAAAAACTTTACAAAACTAGTTCTGGCTTTCCCTAGCCTCTTCCCTAGGTTTGAGTGCTTTTTTATTAATCAGATCTGTATCATTCATGCAGTTGGGACATTTCAACTTATTAAAGTAAATGCATTAAAAAGTAAATTAAAATTTATATATATATTAACTAGGTAATTTCTTTAATACATATTTTATAGGGTATCTGGAAAATCAATCTTTAAAAAAAAATTAGGTTGAGAAGCCATTCTGTAGGTCATAGGTCTAAAAAATATTAATTTTAGGTTTCTGGGATGATTAAAAGTGGTAAATTTGAACTTTGATGTATATTTTCATTTTTAATTATTTTTAAACTTTATTGAACCTTAAAACTTCTCATGGAAGTTTCCATTCATACAAACTGAGTCATAAGATCTACTTAACTTCTCTATAATGGAGATTCACCCCTCCAAGTCTGTTAAGCATGGAAACCCTACTTACCACCTCTCACACACACACACTGTTTTCTTAACCTCAGGATAGTGATGAAACTTCATCACTAACCGAACTTTCAATGTTTTCTTTACAAATATTTATCTCTTTGAAAATCAAATTTTCATTAACTAGTTCAGCTAGCTCTGTGCTTTCAGAAATTAAACAGGTTTTAGTTTTAAACAATCAAACTCCTTTGGTATATCAGCATCCAATAGTCGGTCAATAGTCAAGATATGTTTCTTCTGTTCAGTAGATAAATCATTACTCCCAAAACCAGAGGTGGAAATGAATTAGATTTACATAAGTTAATGTAATTGAGTAGTTTTTTGTAAATTTTGTACAAAAAAAGTAATTTAAGTATTTTTAAGTTTTTTTTTTAAGTATTTTTAAGTTTAAGTATTTTTTAAGTATTTTTAAGTTTAAGTATTTTTTCAAATAAATACTTTCACTTAAGTATATATTTTTTAAAAGTGCTGTACTTCACTACTTTTTAAATTGTGATGTAATTTACGGGCAACCCGTTATGAAGATATCAAATAAATGCACTGCTGTCATTTTGAATTTGAATTTTTCTTATTCTAGGTTTAAAAGAAAATTATTTTTAAAAAATTTAAATTTTTTAAAAATAATTTTTAAACTTTTATATAATTTTAAAAGAAAATTATAAAAACTGTTAAAAAAGAAGTATGGTATCTTTTACTCTGAGTACATTTTTAATAAGCTACTTTTACTTAAGTAAACTTTTCAACCAGTAGTGTTTACTTGCAACTAAGTAAAATTTCAATTAAGTAAAAGTACTTTTACTTGGGAACAAAATTTTGTCACTTTTTCCACCTCTTCCAACTTTGCCATTAATCTTCCCTATAGCATAGGAAGTTTTAATAGCAAATAGATCATTTGATGGAGCATTTACATCAACAGAGCATTTCAGGAACCAAGGCGCATAAAAGATAGAAAAAAAATGCTTGCTTCTATACTTTTAAGCTTTTTTTTGATTAGTCATATTATAGATTTCACGGGTCATGTCCTTGGTCTGTTCATGACATGTCCTTGGTCTGTACTGCCCTTGATCTTTTAGTGTGCTGAAAATCTATCAGCACTTAACTAAATCAGCACAAAATAGTAAAAAACTATATTGTGAGAAAATTATTTAAAATATAAAAATTGTTGAAATTAATTTATTACTAAAACAATGATAAAATAATAGCAAGAGATTAATCCAAAACTTAGATGTCCTAACTTTTTAAAATTTTCTATAAAGATATTGCAAATAAGTTCCTCTTGCAATTTTTTTCCATTTCAATATTTGAATCAATTTTAAAAATCATTAAAGTTGCAATTGCTATGACAAATCTCATAAATTTAATTTTTTTTTTTTGAATAAATTAAATAAATAATTACTTTTTAATCTATTATGGTATATTTTATGCCATTTAATTTAATATCTTTTTATGACACAAATCACATTGTCAACAAAATCACAAATAAACGGAAATGTTGCATTGCAATTGCAACTTACGCGATTTTCAAAAACATTAAAACCGAGATTGCTGGAAAGTATTTTAAACTTTCTTGTGCTTTTCATTTTTCATATATTTCCTTCAGAAAAAATTCGTGAAAAATAGATCCTCAAGAGACAATTTACAGGGTTGGGGTGTAACAAAATATATTTACTTTGTTACTTTTTGCAGTACCTTTACATGTAATGAGTTACATTTACAACACAGTACTTTTACTTTTTTACTTTCAGAAAAAAGTACAAAGTTCTTCATTGCAATGTATTATTTGATATTATTTGTGTAATGTTTTGTATTCTTATTTATAGGAAAGAGAATTAGTGTTGGTTTCCTCGTGCAGAATTAATCTATGAGGAAACATTTTAGCAATCATTATAGAGTTTCTCATATAGTCCTTCAAAAGAAATTACTTATTTTGCAATTTTTAATCATTTTTTCCAATGAGTATTATAAATTTAGATTGTTCAGACAGAATTGATTTCATAATAATCATTACATGCAAAAGTACTTTCTACTTTGTAACTAAAAAATACTTTCAACATATTATACTTTTTTACTTTTGTTTAAGTTTTTTGGTTTTTTTACTTTTCCTTTGTAACTTTTTTTTACTTTTACTTTTTACTTAAGTACGACTCCAACCCTGACAATTTATGCTGAGAACTCGTTTACTCGTTGTGACTCTTCTCTCAGCAAAAAAAAGGCTAATTTTGAAGGTTTTCAACATTTTTCTTGGTATGCATATTTTTAACATTATTTTCTTGGTATTCCAAGACCAAGATCCCGAGATAAGCAGGATCTGAAAGTATAATTCAAGATCTAAAATTTATTGGATTATTACAACTGATATATGAATTATGCAAAAGTATACTTTTCTGATAATACCTTTCTAATAACATCTAACAACACTATAATAAGTATACCTTTCTAGAAATGTTTCTATAATCCTTCTATACATATAACATTCACAGTGAAGCCATGCTACAGTAAACCAAGAAGGTTTGGTTTCACCTTCAACAAGTATTGGCATTTTTTCAATAAACTGATTCCACATATCACTATCATTTGAAAAGTCATTTAATTTTCTTATAACTTTATTTGTTTGCATTTCATTTTTCAACTTGCACAACTTTGAAACAATTTCTTTTGCATCCTCAGCTTTGCTCTGAATTAAAAAAAATTTAAGCTAAACAGAACAAAATTATTGCTCAAAAAAATAAAATTCAATAATTTTTTTCTAATCCAAAATTATTTTTTTAATTTTTTCTAGAAAAAATATAGATTTGATACAAATAATAATATAGTGAAAACTATATTTATTTGAGTTAGAAACTAATTTATAAACTATGGTTTAAAGATTTTTCACTTTTGTGTTAGGCTGGAAAAAAAATATATATATATTAAAAGTAAATATTTATAATATAGATTCTATCCAGATTAATAACCCATTAGTAGTATTGTAAAAAATATCTTCCATTATAGAAAGAAACAAAAGTATATTGTTAAAAATTCATTATCACTTAACATGTAGTTTTCTTAAAAATAAAAACAAAAAAAATAACTATTTTAAAAGCTTTATTAAGAAATAACATAAATAACTATAACTTATAAAAATTTTATTTTAGGACTAATTGTTTTTCCTAACCCCTTGTCTAAGAAACTACCAAAACGCATGTCGAACATCTTTGTCTAAGGACCTACCACATATTGTGTTTTGGTAAAAAGTTCTAAAGAAAAATCTAAGAAATTTTAATTTCCTATTTTTAATTATATAACTCAATAATTTGCAATTAATTACAAAGTTCAAATTTAATTTTAGATTTGCCAGCATCTGTTCTTTTTATTAAAAAAAACAAAACAAAACAAAAAAAAATCAAAATAATCATGGAAAATAAATTCAAAAACAAAGAAACAATAATACGAAACATGATTTTATTTGTTATTGTTTTAAGTGAACAAATTATTCACTTGGAACAATACAAAAAGATAATTAAGTTTATATGTATTTTAAATTATATTATTATAAATAAAATAAATATAAATAAAATTCTAGTTTAAATCAGTTTTGGTAAATTAGTAGTCAAAACAATAACTAAACTAGTAGACTTTAAACAAGCAGAACTATAACATTGTGGCAAGTTATTTAGCAAATATATTTAAAAAAAAGTCTGGTAAAGTGCATGCTATAACTCTGTCAAACTATGGTAACATAAATTAAGCAATGAAAAATCTCAACTCTCAAAGCAATTATATCTTCCAAAACTTTGAAGAACAGTATTCCAAAGGTGAAATTTTTATTATGTTGGTTTTGATTGGGACAAAAGTGGTCAGGTATTTTTTTTGTAGACATATAGGCTACAAAAATCTGCTTAAGCTACCCATTTGGTATTAATAGATTAGTAACTATCAATTACTACTAAAAAATTGCTAGATCAATAAACTCTTCTACCCAAGCAACACAATTTTCATCTATTTAACCAACTAAATAGACAAACATTTAAATAGTTGTAATCAATCCATTTTTATAATTATTTCAAACTCATTTGGTCAAGCTTTACTATTCTCCAATTTAAGTTCAATATGCTTCAATAAAAAATATAAAAAAAGACATTTAAATAAAATTTGTTAATTTAAAAAAAAGAAAAAATGTTACCATTAAAAGAGTTAAAGAAAGGTGACTCAATGAACTTTAAAATTATCTAAAGACTTAAATTTGCAAATAAATAACCAAAGAAACTGATATCTTTCAAAAAAATAGAAACTCAATTTTAACACTGTTGTCAATAATGCCTACAAATCAAAATAACAAATTCAAAAATTGTGCAAACTAAACTAAGGAATCATAAGTGTCAAAATTATTAGGATGTAAATTAAGTCTATTTTTTTGTAACTAATGTTTGTCACTCTTGAGTCTTTTATTGTTTTGGTTTTTTAAATCTGTTTAAATACAAAAATTTAAGATAAAACAAATACAAAGAGTTTTAAAAATACGAAACTTACTAATATCTATAAAAAAAAATTATATTCTATTTATATTAAATATAATATTATTCTTTAATAGTATAAAAATCTAAAATGATCTAATTTTGGACATTTAATTTTCACCTTTAAAAAAAAAAAATGGTAAAAAAAACCTGAAAATAAATAACAATTGGATTCCAGTAACAATAAAACTAATATAAAAAGTATAAAAAATTTATGTTACTGTTCATCTTCAAGTTAAGACAAAAAAATTAAAAGTTTTCTCAATAATATTTTGTTTAAAAGAAATACAATATGCCTAACTATTTGTTCAATTCCAGGACACAAAAGTTAGAATGAAAATAGGTAATCTGTGTCTCTGAACTTAAACAAAGTTGAGCTAATAATATCAATTAACATACCAAACTGTTCGAATTATAATATTGACTGGCTAATCTGCTCATTTGATCAATTACTTTAGTTAATATAGCTGGCATACGATCCCGAATAGTTAGGTAAGCAAATGTTCTAAATAATTTATTTGTATTAATTAAATAATAAAACTAATTAATTATAAAAGATCAAACATTTTAAAATAAAGACTGGAAACTTAAAAAAGAATATTAAACAATTTAACAGTTTTATTAATTTGAAAAACAGCAATAAATATTTCTAAATATTATTTACAGTAAAAAAACGCACGAATAAACCCTTTAAAAAATTGTTTAAAAATCTTCAGAAATTTTAAGAATGAAGAATAAAAAAACTACTTTTACCCTTTAAAGATACCAGACAATGGAGTAGGCCGTGGATCACAAGTATTTGTCATTATTTTGATTATAAAACTTTAAAAAATCAAGTTCTTTAAATTATAATAAAGTAAACATGTATATTCAGAAATCTGTTTGGATTTACCTCATTTTTTTTTAATGACAAAAAATCAATGTCAATGACAAAATATTAATAACATTTTCACATCATAAACTTATTAGTAGTATTCAAATGTTATATCATTAGTTACTTTTAACAAAACAAACTAACTTAATTACTAATTCATATCTAGACAAGGAATTTTATAAACATTTAGCTTATATAATCAACTATGATTATCTCCTTGATGATGAAAAATAAAAAAAAAATTTAAAAACAAATGATGAAAAATAAATTTTTTTAATAAACAAATTAAAAGTAGTTTGTAAAAAATAAGAAAATAAAAGGTTATGAAGCCTTCAAAAGAAATTACCCTCAAGATGGTTTTACTTAAAAAAAGCTATATTCACAAGTTAAGAAAATTCAAGCCTGCCTATTGGCTGACTTAATAAGTCTTGATAAATTTTTTTGCAACAATTGTAACTGAAAGAATTATGAACTAATTATTTTCTGGTTAAATGGCTACATCATCGAAAACTGTTTTGAACTTGAATAAATAAAAAAGACAACACTTTCCTATTTGAACAAAAATAATGGTCCAGTACATGATGGATTTCACGCAAAAATAAATAAGTATCTAACTAATTTCTTGTCTCTTAATTTGACTGAAACCTTCTATCATTCCACCAACAATCAGTTTCCTGAAACATCGAAACAAGGCTAATATTAAACCTGTATTAAAAAGCAGAAAAAACAACAACAAAAAAAAAGCAGAAATTTACAGACCAGTTATTTACTTTATCAATTTTATTACTTTCTTAAGCATTTGTTACTTGTAGATCTTTCTAAAGCATTTGATTCAGTTCCTCAGCAAATACTACTGAATAAATTAAACAAAATGGGAGTCAGTAAAAATATAGGATTGGTTCAGAATTTATCCTTAAGGAGGACAATAAAGACCTAAATGTGTTCAACAAGGGCAAAAAGTTAGTTATGAACTTTTCAACTCGTTTGTGCAAGATTTATCTAAACTTTAGATAAACCTAAGCCGATCTCTTTAGACTAAAGAGATCAGCTTAGGCACAACAGTTTCAGAGCTGATCTCTTTAGGTATATGAATTATGTTGGACTGATAAAAAACTGCATGAAACATGTCAGCTCTTTATATTTATAAGTTTCTAAAACTTTTTCAAAAAAACTAGATACCATGATACCAAAAAAACTAGATACATTTAAAATCTCTTGAAATGAGAAAAAATGATCATATCATCAAAACTAAAGAATTAATTATCTAGGGAAAATGTGAGTTTAAAGAAATGTTTAAAAAAGAAAAACTAACGAGTTAAACACATTAATAATAAAACAGAATAAAACAAGTCATGGATTGAAAAAATTTAAAATTTTAGCAAAAATTTTTATAAATTAATTAACATGAAAACAATAAAGTTAAAGTAAAGCTCGCTCTGGCATCGATGAACATTAGGGTGAAGTGAAAATAATATTTTCTAGAAATACATCTATTTTCCCTGATTTTTATTAGAAAATCAAAAAAACGAGACCGAAATAAGCAAAATTGGACAAGAATTACCCACTGCAGCAATTTTTGACTAATTGTTTACTTATTATTAGAAGTCGGTATGCGGAATTCGCGTTTTACGGAACCGATAAATGTGCTAAATTCTTGTTCCACGCTTTTTTAAGTTTGCTTTTTGCCAGTAAGGTAGGAACGTTTTTTGCTGCCTAAATTTTTAAATTTTCATATTACAATAGATATTTTTTAAAAACTAGAAGAATATATCTTGGTTGCTATTTGTCTTTTGATTACTATAACGAACTTTTTAAGATAACTTATTGACTTTTAAAAATGTGTAGTACATTATGCATTCCCCATACTTTGAAGATGAGTTTTTACACATTTCTAACCTAGTCTTACCCTTAAGTTTACACATTTTTTGTTTACCTGCCAAGTTTCATTGAAAAATATGGATGCGCATTATCTCTATTTTTACCCCCACTTTTGGTACCTAATTTCAAAATTTTCTAGAATATTCACGGGAGATAGGGGGGTGAAATAATTAGCCGTTAATGTATACTTTTCAGAACTTGAAAATATTTTTATATGTTAGTATATGAAATTGTAAAGAGAAACTCTTCAAATAAACATTATTCGGTTTTATATAGTCGTTTAATAATCTAATTTTTAGATAAAATGAGCTTTACTACATTGCAATCTCCAAACTATTTGGAGAACATTGCAATCTCCGAATTATTGCCACCGATCTCAATCTCAAAGTTATTTGGCCAATAATTAATCACAAATAAAAGTTTCATCAGTTTATGATATTCAACTCAAAAAAATGATACGCTCTAAATGACATTTGTTTGCTTAATTTATGTGTATATTTTTAAATTTTCTGTGTTTTATTTACAGGTTATTAACCTGTAGATAACGTATTTATTTTTATTCATCATGAATAAAATAAAATAAAAATCTAAAGATAATCATAAACATGAATTTCATGTCTATGATTATCTTTAGATTTTTAAATAAATAAAAAATATATGCAAATTAACACTTGCAAGGTAAATCGGTTGAAAGCGCAAGATTTAATACCATAGTTATTGTAAGTCAAAAGGAGCAAGTACTTTTTGGTTGAAATAGATTTATTTATTTTTTACACTCTGTGTAAGTAGTAAATTATTTTTTATTTAATTGTTGTTTTTTTTCCAAGTTTTTTCAATAATTTACTTCTTCATTTTGGCAATTTTTTTCTGTTTGTAATCCAAACCTACTTCTTTAATTTCTATATTTAACTTTAATATATATATATATATATATATATATATATATATATATATATATATATATATATATATATATATATATATATATATATATATATATATATATATATATATATATACCATTACTACTTTTTTTGTTATTGTATTGGTAATTGTTTTAGAATACAAATAATGTTGTTGTTAATATTTTTAATATTGTTTATTTATTCTTTAATGTTATTTTATTTTCATTTCTTTTTTTCTTATTCCATTACAAATATTTATTTGTTTTTTCTTATAATTTATAAATTAATTGATTATTTTTAAAGTTACTTATACTTAACTATTTTACACTAATCTAGTTCTTTTGTAATAAATACATTAAATAAAATATATTCAAAGGTTATAAAATAAAAGTTCTACACTTTTTTTTTTAGTGGTTTTAGTGTTTGTGGTCTTTATCAAACACATTAGTTTGATAATAGTAAAATATTTTTTTATTATTTACAACAAAATGCGTCCAAAAAAAAGGTATACTAAAACAATATTTTGTGGAGCATTTAAGAAATATTTAGCTGCTAACTACAAATTACCATCTGGAACAAGCATTCAATGTATGAATGGGCACGTACTTTTTCTTTTTACACACAACGGTGAAGTTTATAGCAAAACTGTTGCACAGCTTAATGAGTATTTTGACTTACAGTTGATTAGTATCATTTGCCTATCACAAATTAAAAGCATAGTGTATGCAGTCAAAAAATTTTAAAAGGCTAAATGCAAGTTGTGTTGCATTTCGCGATGAGCCTTGTCTTAGATCATTGTCAACAATTACACTTTAAGTGCCACCTACCTCTTGTAATGCTATTTCTAATGTTTCATGTTCTTCAGTTGAGACAGATTCTATACACATTAGTTATACATCGACAATAAATGAATGTAATGTAAGTGGAAGTGAAAATTTGAGTACAAGGCATACAACAAGACAGAAAATAGAAAAGCCTAGTCCTAAGAAACTAAAGTTCTAAAAGATGATGTCACATTATCTTCTCGGTTAGCTAGGTCTACCACAGAAAGTCGTACGAAGATATCTTTGAAAACAATCATAAACTGCATGCGATATAAATTAAAAGTTTTAAGACAGAGTGCTAAAAGAAAAGAACAGATTATAAAAACTTTATGAGCTGAGGTTAGAGACTTAAAAAATAAAACACAAACATTATTACAGTAGATTTTTTCGCAACCTTATTGCTACTAAAAAGGCAATGAAAAATAAAGAGAGAGAAAAGTTTAGAAATGTAACTCTCAGACATAATGCTGCTAATAGGACAAATACAAATGCTATTACTTGCTTAGAAAACAATATGACCCAGATGGAAGACTGCAATATAAATAATACAATTATGTTAGATGATGATAAAACTTATCTATTAAAAATGAGGATGATAATTTACAGCATGATATTGTCCAATGTCCCAACAGGTAACAAGTGGATCATACTGCTTTAGTTTATTCAAATTTTTACTTAAAACCCTTTGACGAATGTTGTTGTTTGATTATCTCAAATATATCAAACACGATGTCCGATAGAATTTCGACTAACCATCTTACAATAAAAAAAATTTGTGATCTCTGGACTAAAAATCTTAATGAGTTAAGCTGCCTCTTCTACCAAAAAAATGTCTGATGCCTTGTAACGTGATAACATCTTCAGTTTGGTGCATCTTGTAATATGGTAAAACTATAACATTTGATTTTTTCAAATGTTCATTCATGAATTCATTTGTTTATTCAATACTCATTTTTGATAATACTTTTTTTAATAAATAATACCATTTTTAATAAACTCAAAGATTAACCTATCGTATGGAAGTCTGGAAGGAAATTATAATAACTAATTTCATATGTAAATTAATTAATATTCTCAATTTTAATAATGTATTTATGTTAATTTAGGTTGGAGGTGGAGAGGCAACCTGCTTCCGATTCGATGGGCGCCACCGGTGCACGTTGTAATATAGTTTAATTTAATTTGTATTTTTATACTAGATTTACTTTTTTTTAAATAAATATAAAATTGATAAAATAATCATTTTTAATAAAAGGGTGTATAGGGTGTACACCCCCTCCCCAACATATACCTTTTTTTTTAGGTCAGGCCCACCCCTTCTTCTAAAAAAATTTCCATTATTTAAAAAAGTACTTTTTCAAAAATAGGGTGTTTCCCCCCCTCCCCAGCCTCCACCACATACACCCTGAATCGAAGTTTAACTTCTCACATATGGTCTAGAAGGAAATGAAAACAACTACTTGCATATGAAAATCAACAATTTCATAAAAAAATACTCTTTTATAGATGAAATGTTGATATTATAGTAGTAAATGTGGTGGCTGGATGCCCCCTCTAGCCACCCCTAATACGTCTGGAAGGTGTAGGCCAAGATTAATAGTTAGGTTATTCTAACATCTATCTAATGACATCAAGTTTTAAGTATTTAGACAAGAATCGACCAAGTTATTGCAATTTTAGTTGAAAAAAAATTTATTTTGACCACAGTTTAATCAACAAATCCATATATCCAAAAATCAGTACTAAAAGCGTCATAACTTTTTTTGGAATTGTTTGATTTTGATAATTTTTTCGCTTTTAAAATATTCAATTAAAGATCTTTCTAATGATATATAACAACCTAGAATTTATTCAATTTAAAAATTTCATGTAGCATACCTATTAGAAGGTCGATACTTTTTTTTAGTGAGCTAATCCAAGTTTCGCATTTCGTGTAAAATCAAGACCCGAATTATTTAAATTTATTTAAACCGTTTATACTTACTTTCTTGTAATAATTTTGCGATAGATAGATAATTTAATTGGTTTATTATATTAAATAATTCTTTTTAATATATTATAGCAAAATTTTGTTATAGCTTATACGCCATTAAAAATGAACTCGATATTCAAGCACTTATTATATTCAGGTGAGGATTTTATAAAAAACTCGAAACCTGGATTTGCTGACCGGAAAAAAGTTTCCACCTTAATGGTAGCCCAAATTTTACATTAAAAATTTTTCTTTTAAGAAATATTGTAAAATCTGATTGGATCTAGAGCACACTTTCATTTTTACAACATAAATATATAATTTATAATTTAATTTTCAAAAAAGCAATCAAACTTGAAATTCTTTGCCTCGATTACCCCCAAAATACAGAAAATAACCAAAATTTTGTGAAGTAATTACTCAAAATCTACTAGTCATTTTAGCATGAAATTTGGAACATTTTTTAATCATGGTAACATAATTCATTTGAGAGAAAATAAATGAAAACAAATGAATATTTTAGAAATTACGCATGAAGCACTAAAAAGTAAGCGAGCTAAATAACACTAATAAAACAAAATTTCAAGATCTAAAATTAATTGATAAAAAATCTTTTCTCAAATGAATTTTAATAATATGAAAAACAACCTGTGAAAAATTCAGCACTTTTGCATAATTATTTGAAAAGTTATCATTTCGCAAACTTTGAAAACTAGTGAAAAAGTATATTTTGAGATTTTGTAAAATAAAAATGAAAATTACTCAAAAAGCATTAAAAAAAGTATAATTTCTGGAATAAATATAATAAATTAAAAACCTCCAGGTCCATATGAAATTTTTTCAGTTTTTTTAACTTTGTTTGAGTATCCTTTTTTAACACTTTTTAACTGTTTACGTCTCTTTATTTCTTGGGGTATTGACTTTTTTTTATTGACAATCGTATGCATGGGTGACGTTGCATAACCAAAAAGACTAAACTCTGTATAATACAGACAAAAAACCACTCGGACCATCATTAAAATTCAATATGGCAGAATTTACTCCAATTTCCAGTGTTGATCGGTTCACAAAAACTCTTTTGGGACAGCGTTTCCAGATTATTAAATTGAGCGCCTCGGTTGCATTCTGCGTTCAACCATGAAGACATTTTGCAATTCATCTGCTGATAAATCCTAAAAAATTGGTTTTAATAAATTAAAAGTTTATATTGATAATGATATATGTTCTTTGAATGTGGTTGTACCATAAATCTTATCGTAGTGATATTTGCACCAACTATTTTCATCTCGCGGGCACATTCTATGTTGGTATTCTTGATCATCAAATTTAGTGCAGTAAAAAAGTACTGCCCAAACTGCTTTCTTTATAGCATATAAACTATCAACATTTTTTCTAATTGCTAAACCATAATAGTTTTGAAGATTCTGTAAGTTTACCTTTACCCAGCAGACAGGTCTGTGTCTTTTAATTTATTTTTACCAGATTCCTGAGGCCAAGACGTTTTTGCACATGACCGATGCATTCTATCTTTAAAGGATTGTTACTGTACTCCTTATATGGGTCACTTTGTATGATATCATTGAATGATGAAGTGTCACCATCTCCAAGATACTCTTTATATATAAAATTATACTTTGCTATGGAGCGCTTAAATATTGAGATAGCACCAGCTGATTCCATTAAACCTGAAGAGCCTTTATGGTTGATATTGCATATATGGTTAACACGCCATTCATAATACTCAGGGTTATGAGTTTTATTTTCCTATAATAGACAAACATTACAATGCTTTGAAAGAACTTCATAATCTATTCACTTTTTACCAATCAATGCTGTCGTGACTCCATTTAGAGACGAATACCCGCCTTCTGCCGCGTGCCATCAGTTGTAATACAATGGTAGTAGGGACCTTCCAGATCATTTGCTATGCATTCTTGGGCTGCCTTGTTCATACTTTTAGTTGCAACATTGATATAAGCAGTATATACTAGACCATTTTTTGTTTTGTTTAAATTATCAAAAGCATTTTCAGAAATATTATATGTGTTCATACTTATTGCAAAAGTTTTAATAGTCTGAAAGCTTAATCCAATCTCGCGGAATGCAACAACTGAACGTATATTTACTTCATATGGCTCTCTGCCTAATTATTTACAGTAGAAATAGTTTTTGAGCTAAAAAACTGGTTAGTTTTTTCACAGTTCTTGCAATATAACTCAATGCAATGTGAAAACCCCATTCTCAGACCTAATATATCAGTTATTTCCAGTGATGAGTTGCATAATTTACATAGAGCAATTTCAAATATTTTCTTTAAAATAGTTATATCAATCAAAATGTAGTAGCTTTCATTATCTTCAAGATTATTTTTTTCGAAAAAAAAATGTTGTTGGAGGGTACTTTGCTTTTGTGGTTGTTGATGTTGTGTTAAATGAAAGTTTGGCGATCATTTTTACAACGATTAAGAAGGTGAACATTAGTTCTTTTCTTTTTTAAAACAAAATTCTGCTTGTTACCTTTAGGCATTATGCTTTTAAGTTTGTACATACAGCAACTTGCAAAAATTTAACTTGCAAAATTCCAAAATACTAGAAATACTGCTTTAAACAACCTTTGTAACAACTTGAATATATATTAGGAGTTTGAATAATCATTCAACTTATGACCAAAAAAATAAACAAGGTAGGCTATAATATTCAAATATTTTTTAATATTTAAAATACATAGATTTTTGCAGCTATACATTGAAAATATTTTTGTTTATATATTGGTTGCTATGTTGTTGTCATGGACATTACAAACTACTTGGTTCATATAAACCTAAATTATTATCACTCAAAGTTAAAATTTTGCATTAAAAGTTTTTGCATTCTATGAGCAAAAGATTAATGAACTAAGTTAAAAACTTTTTTTTTTTTTTTTAAATTGACTTTTATTTATTGGGGTACCAGAAAAAGTTATTGATTTTTTTTTAAACACATTTAAAAGAAAATTATTTTAATCAAAAAAACTGAATATTAGGCATAAAATTTCATAAAATAAATGCTCTACTCAAAGTTTCAAATATTTTAAAATGTTAATAATAATATTTAGTTTGTAAATAATAATATTACTTATAACTGAAGGACAAAGTTGCTATAATATATAATATATTCACTAAAATTATTAATTAATCGAATATGGTTTTTGTTGACATGTTATGTTTCTATGTGGAATTTAATATTTTGCTATGTTTACTTATATTATGATAATACTAAAACCTTTCTAAAAATATTTCAGTAAATAGAATAATAAGATCTAAAACAGATCATCCATTTTTAGGGTATTTAAAGCCGCTCGCTGAGGCGAAACTGCCAACAGGACTAGATGCGATGCAGCATATGGTGTATTTGCGAGAAAATGAAATGAGAAAATGTCAAATAATAGTAAAGTTAAATGTATATTATAATTTTACAGAAACTTCCTGGAAAAGCCAACAAAAAGAATGAAGCAGCTCAAAAGCAATTCAGATCTTAAAAATTGGGGAAAAATTCAACATACCTACTCCCAGCTACCACAAATACGTTGTTAAAACATTAGAACAAAGTTGCGCGTTTCGTTGGCTCAACATCGGCTGCCAACGTTGTTTTAATATCATTATGGTTACAAATGCGGCGTCGCCAACAACTAAAAACCAATGTTGATAAAACGTTTATTTAAAGTCGGAAAATGGTTATATTTTCTACGTTGATTTAACGTTTTATTTTATACGTTGGCCCAACGTTGTATTTTTAGTTTGCACTACGTTGTATTTTACGTTGTTTCAACGTTGAACTTTTGCACTACGTTGTATTTTACGTTGTTTAAACGTTGTACTCAATATACATATATATATGTATATATATATATATATATATATATATATATATATATATATATATATATATATATATATATATATATATATATATATATATATATATATATATATACATATATATACATATATATATATATATATATATATATATATATATATATATATATATATATATATATATATATAGTATATATATATATATATATATAAATATATGTATATATATATATATATATATATATATATATATATATATATATATATATATATTTATATATATATATACACATACACACATATATATACATATATATATACATATATACACATATATATTTATGTATATATATGTGAATATATATATACATATATGTATATATATATATATATAATATATATATATAT